CTGAGATGCCACACGGAAGAAGTGCTAGAAAACAACTGAACAGAAGCCAGGCTTGGTGGTGCATGCAGTCATCCAGCACTTGGGAGGCTGAGGCAGGAGGATCTTCACAAGTTTCAGGCCAGCCTGGGCTACATAGTGAGCTTAAGGCCAGCCTAGCCTACATAACAAGACCTTGTCTTAAAAATAAATAAAAGAAGAAGAAGAAGAAGAAGAAGAAGAAGAAGAAGAAGAAGAAGAAGAAGAAGAAGAAGAAGAAGAAAACAAAAAAATGAGCAGGAAGCTAGGACCCAGGAAATCCAGAAGGGGACATTCCTCCTTCTCTGGGGAGAGGAGCTTGAGGGAAGAGGCCCCCTCCAGCCTGCACTTCTGGGGCCTCCCTCCCTTGTTCTCTGCGCTGACCCCAGGCTGTGAGCACAGCTGTCCTTCGTTTCCGTCCTCCCTGTCTCCTGCCCGCCAGGGACCTGGGAGGCCACCTCCTGGGAACTCAGTTGAAACTGTGGCCGCTGTCCCCTCTGTGGGCTGCTCTATGCTCCCTCTCCATCTCCTCTGAATCCCAGGAACCCAGCTGTCCCCAGGGGCCACCTGCCGCACATTAGCTGTGGAAGGGTGCCTGCGGGGTCATCCCTTCCTCTCTGTGGGGCTCTGCCAGCACAGGGCCCTAGAGCTGTGGGCAAGAGGCCAGGGACACTTAGCAGCTGGGACAGCAGGGCGCGGGGGCCCAGGGGCAGAGCCGGCGCTGTGGAGCTGGGCAGTCCGTCTGCCCGCGGAGCAGCTCTGCCAGCCCTCTGCCCAGCGCTGACCACTCTGGGGCCTCAGTTTCCCCTTGCGTGCCAGCTGCCCCCGCAAGTGCGTGTGGTTGTCTGGGACTCACACACGGCCCTAGGAACAGCAAGTGTCCCTCCACAGGGATGCAGGGACCAGAAGCGAGATAGGCTCTCAGTTCCTCATCTGTCCTTACAAATCTTTCCTATCTGGCAACATGTTACCTGTGATAAAATTGGTAACACACACAGTATTTTATAAAGAAAAATCATCCCAGCACTTGGGAGGCTGAGGCAGGAGGATCACCATGTCACTATGAATTTGAGACCAGCCCTGACTACATAGTGAGTTCAAGGCCATGTAGCAAGACCCTATCTCAAAGGAAAAGAAAAAATAGAGAAAGGGAGTTTGCAGTGCACCCTGCGCCTGGAGGCAGAGGGTGCGCACTCCTACAAGGGCATTTTCTTTTTTTCTTTTTTTATTTATGTGTGTGTGGCCAGCTCAGCCCACCAGAGGGCGGGGCTGTCTGGCATGTGGTGCTGGGGGATTGAACTGCGGTCCCTGTGTTTTGCTTAGCTTAGCTTGTTCTAAGTAGGTGTTTTAGACCACTGAGCCATCTCACCAGCCCCTACAAGGGCATTTTCTTTCCTGCTCCACCCACGTGCTGGGCAGGAGGCAACCTGGGCTGTGCAGGTCCCTGCAGGACCCACCCGCTGCAGGGGCTCCGGAGGCCTCCCCTGTCCGGGCTGCCTTCCAGCCAGAGCTGAGGGGTAGCGTCTCCTTGCTCACAGGCCAGGGCCACTGTACTGCTCCTCCCAGGGTCCCTGGCAACACTGTGCGGTCCAGGCGGGCAGGGCTGGCACCCTTGAGAGGCAGTGTGCAGGGCAGGGCGGGAGCTCAGAGTCAGGCTGCAGCTGCTTGGGGACCAGATCAGATCGGTGGGACCCAGCCTCTAGTGCAATTGGTGGGCGTAGGCAGGCACTGAGCCTGCCCCTACACCTGTGAGGCCCGGTGATGCCCCTGTGAGCCAGCACGGTGGGCAGCTGCTGTGGCTTCTCAGGGACACCACCGCAGAGGAAGCCAAAGGGCAGAGCAGGACAGGCCAGTGCTCCCCGGACCACTCTGTGCCAGGCTCTGGGACTGAGTCTCTTTTGCTATTTACCCAAGACAAGACTCTGTAGCCCAGGCTGCTCTGGAACGCGTGAGCCTCCTGCCTCAGCCTCCCAAGTGCTGGGTCCCGGCTGCCTTCCCAAGGCTGCAGGGACTCGGCCGGTCACATTCCCTGTGCCGCGGGGGGGCACATGGAGGATGCCGTGCCTCGGGTCTGTGCAGGGCAGCACCTACACCGGGCTGCCGGGCTGCTGAGGGACACGAGCCAGGAAGAAGCTGCGGTGCACCCAGCTGTGTCTTACAAAAGAGACCCAAAGTGCAAATAATAGATGGTAGGGAGACGTCTGCAGCGGAAAGGTGACCGAGAGACAGCGCCACACGTCATCTGTGTCCCAGCTCCCCTACAGGCTGCAAATGGGGGCTAAGAAAAACTCAGAAATACAATAGAGATTTAAGAGACCAGGTGACAATGAAATGAGACAGCAAGGAGGAGGCTCCGGTGGCAGCCGCTGCCACACAGCCCTGAGGGTGCGAGGCTGGCAGGGCTGGGCACAAAAAGGCTCTTGTTGGGCAGGAGGAGGAGGAGGAACTCGCCAGCGGGAAGAGGGGCGATAGCCATCGCAAGGCGCACCTTGCGAGGTCCTGAGGCCTCAGGCTCCGGCCTGCAGCCAGGCCCACGTTGTTCTCCAGGAGCACTGGGAACATGCAGCAGGTAGAGGGTCAAGCTGTCCCCTCCTTCTGCAGGCAGAGACAAGGCCCTGCTAGCCTCACCCCCTTGCGGGCAGGTAGGTATGGAGCGGGCACAGCAGGCAGGACCCACAGCCTGCCCTGCTCCTCCCCCATAGCTGGGTTCCTAGAAAAGGGACAGTCACAGTGCCTCAGGCAGCAGCCTTGTGTTCTCCCAGCTTCCCTGTAAATGGACTTCCCTGAAGAGTGGAGGGGCAAGGCAGGCTGAGGCAGGAGGGCTTGGGAGCTTGGGCAGGGGCTGGGAGTAGAAGTCCCAGCGGGGCGCCCCAGGGTGTCCCCTTCCCTGTCTGCCTCAGCACAGGGACCTTCCAAGGAAACCATGCTCTGACATGCCCCCGCCCCCCGCAGCAGGAACTCCCCTTGAAGGAAGGAGGCCCTCAGTGCCAGCCCTCCACCCCAGGACCACAGGCCAAGGTGACCCTGCAGTCCTCCTGGGGGGCTCTGGCAGGCTGGCCACCTCCTGGGGCGCTCAGCTCTGCGGCAAGGATGCTGGCCCTGTCGGTGCTGGTGATCCGGAGCCACCTGGGCCAGGTCTCTGGACAGCAGAGGACATGGTGTGGCCTGGCCTGCTGGAGTCCCTGGGTCCCTGCCAGCCATGCCACAGTGGGGCAGCATGCTAGTAAGAGATGGGGCATTCGTACTATGGGCAGGACATAGTCGGCCTGTGGGGCGCCGTGCTCCTGTAGGACTCCTGAGCCCCCTTCTCATTCCACTCCTAGCACTACAACCTGGCACTGGGGGCACAGGGCATGGGGACGGGGAGCCCACATGCTCAGCTCTTTTTGAACTCCAATCCTATTTTCTCCTCTCTAAACTGGTCCCCTAAACCCACCAGGGTGCTTCGTGGTGGAAGATAGCGGAGACCAAGCTAGAGCACCAATGCGGGGAAAAGCCCTGCCTGGCATTTTGGTGGCTGTAAGCCTTTGGGGAGAGTGCCTGAGGGTCCCCGATGCCCACATCTCTGGGGTAGAAGGGACAGATCCAGGCAGAGTCAGAGTGGGGAGGAGACCCAGGCAAGAGGGTGCTGAGGCACCTGGGTCTTTGGTCCTGGCCCACAGCCTGAGATGCCCAGGGGCAGCGCTGGGACACAGGCAGGCATTGGACTCTGGCGCCCGGAACTCCCTCTCAGGCTGGCATTTGCAGCTCTGGCCCCCAGTGAAGGCTCCCTAAGGCCCAGCCAGGTGGGGGGCAGCAGACCCATTTAGATCCTCCGGGGCCTGACCTCGTGACTCTGGCCTGGCCGCCTCCCCTCCAACCTTTCTTCCAACTCTGATACTTAACTCTCCTTTAAGGGGACCCTCCAGCCTGGGCGGACAACCCCGACAGATCGGGGAAAAGGGAAAGTGGGCCGAGCTTCCTCTTCCCAGTTGCCCGCCCCGCCTCACATCTGGAAAGCAAGGTTTCCCCAGATCCCCCGCGCTCCTGGGCGTTTCAATTCCTCCCCCGGGGGCCTGCCCCTGCCACCAAGTACAGGCGGCCCCGCGGCGGGCGGGGGAACCCAGACATTTGGACTTCTACAGAAAAGCTGCGTGTTTCCCCTTAGGTCAGGAGAATGAAACCCGGGGAGGCGGCGGCGAGGAGGGGAGGAGGAGCCGTCACGGGGCGAGAAATGGGGAGGAAAGGGCGTTGGGGACCCTGGGCCCGCGCCAGCGCTCGGAGAGGCCCGGGGGAGACAAGCCGGGCAAAGGGGACGCGAGGCGCCAGGGCCTGGCCCGGAGCTTGGCCGCGGAGGGAGGGCCGAGGCGGCCACCCAGCCGGGCTCGAGGTGGACAGCGTCCGGCAGGGAGGCCGTCCTGGCCCGCGGCGACTTTCTCAGCCGCGAGGCTCCCGGGGTTGGGGGTTCCCCAGTGACCCGGCCTCACCCACCCAGGCCCGCAGCTCGCCGGAGCACCCCGCAGCCTCTGCCCGGCCCATGTGACCATGCACAGCCTCCCAAGCGCACTTTGTTTGTGTTCTTTGCTACTGGGGATTAAACAACCCCCCCCCCCCGTGCTGCCACTGTGCTGTCCCCAGCCCGCCTTATCCCCTCCCCTTTTTCTTGAAACAGTGTCTTGCCAAGTCGCCCGGGCACGACTTGAATTTGCGAGCCTCCTGCCTCAGCCTCCCGTCATGTGCAGCTCCAGGCGTACAGCCCCGTGCCCGGCGCCCTCGCTCGCTTCCTAATCTACGCGGGCAGAGCCGGGCAGCGTCTGGCGCCCGCCCGCTCCCCTGCGCCCGCCGGGGTCGCACGAGAGCGCCCCGGCCTGCGGACGGGCTTTCCAGAGCCCGGGAATCCCCGCCCGCCCGAGGCCGCGGCGGGAGGCTGCGCCGCGAGGGCGGCGCGCGCTGTGTTTGGCCGAGCGCAGGCAGCTGACCTTTGAGGAAATCGCCGGTCCCGGCTCTTCCTGTAGCGGTAGCGCGGCGAGCCGGGCGAGGAGCGGGGCAGGGACCCAGGTGCGTGGCCTGAATGGGCCCAGGGCGCGGGGGACGGGGACACGGGGCCGGGACACGGGCCTGGGGAGAGGAAGGGGGACTTGGGACGAGGCAGGGGCGGCTGGCGCGGGGACCCCGAGACGGGCGATCGGGGGACACAGGCTCAGGCACGGGGGTCCGGAGCCGCTGACGAGGGGGTCCCCGGCCGGCGGCGCTGCCCCGCGAGCGCCCAGAGGAGGCCCGTCTGCGCCCCCACCTGTCGCTTCGCCATCGGCCACCAGGCGCCGAGGGACGCGGCCAGCGACGCGTAGCCGCAGCTGCACCCGGCCCGCGTGGGCTGGGGCCCCCTCCCCGGAGCTCCCGCGCCCCCTCCCCGGAGCTCCCGCGCCCCCTCCCCGGAGCTCCCGCGCCCCCTCCCCGGAGCTCCCGCGTCCCCTCCCCGGAGCTCCCGCGACCCTCCCCGGAGCTCCCGCGCCCCCTCCCCGGAGCTCCCGCGACCCTCCCCGGAGCTCCCGCGACCCTCCCCGGAGCTCCCGCGCCCCCTCCCCGGAGCTCCCGCGCCCCCTCCCCGGAGCTCCCGCGCCCCCTCCCCGGCGCGGCCTCCGCCCACTCGGTTTCTCTTTCGCTTTTGGTCGCGGCTCTCTGGGGCTCAAGACAGAGGAAGGGGCGACAGCCCCCCGGACCCCGCTCCCTGGCCCGGCTGCCGGTCCTGCCAGGTCCCTGGTCCCTCCTCCTGCACCGCAGCTGCAGCCTGGCCCCGGAGGCCTTGGACAGACACGCGGGACTGTCGCTTCACCTCCCAGGTGACCATGGCCGGCTGGATCCGCGCCCAGCAGCTGCAGGGCGACGCGCTGCGCCAGATGCAGGTACTCTACGGGCAGCATTTCCCCATCGAGGTCCGCCACTACCTGGCCCAGTGGATAGAGAGCCAGCCCTGGTAGGTACCTCCTCGCTGTGTGGAAGGGATGGACGAGGGACCTGAGACCAAGGAGGACGCGTCCTGTGGCGTCACCTCCCCACATCACGCTGGGCCGACCTCCTGGCCCACGGAGCACTGCCACCGCTGCAGCCTCTGTCCCCTGCCTCCCCAGGGATGCCATCGATGTGGACAGCCCCCAAGACCGCGCACAGGCGGCCCAGCTCCTGGAGGGCCTGGTGCAGGAGCTGCAGCGGAAGGCGGAGCACCAGGTGGGGGAGGACGGGTTCCTGCTGAAGATCAAGCTGGGCCACTACGCCACGCAGCTGCAGGTGGGAGCACCGAGCCCCTCCTGCTCTTAGAGGCCCTGGGAATTTTGCCGGCCTGGCATTGACTCAGTTATGCCCTTGAGCAAGCATATCAAAATTTTTCTGTAACTTTCCCTACCTGCTTTCCAAGCCTTCACCAATGTGACAGTCAGAGGTGGGGGGCGTGGGAGGAGTGGGTCCCTAACTGGGAGTTGTGGGAGCCGCAGCACAGGTCAGGAAGCTGGTAGGGTGGGCTGAGTCGGGAGTCCTTCCCTAGGGGACTGCTGTGTTCTGGAGGTGAGGGAAAGAGGCTGGGCGTAGTGGTGCCCGCCTGTCATGCCAGCACTCAGGAGGCTGAGGCAGGAGGGTGGCCTTGAGTTGGAGGCCAGCCTGGGCTCCATGGTAAGACCCAGTCTCAAAAAGCAAACAAACAAGAGAGAAATGCGGGAAAGGTGCCAGCAGGCAGCCATTGGCCTGGGGCTCCTCTACAGCCTGGAGGCTGCTGGAAAGACGGCTTGCCTGCGGGTAAGAGCGCAGGGGAAGCTGTGAATGGACTTTAGAAAAAGCTGCAGCCTCTCCCAGGCAGGGGTGGAGGGCAAGGGGAGCACTGGGAAAGGAGAGAGGGAGGAGACCAGGAGGCGAGGACATCCCCGGGCAACTGAGGCGGGCCTGGAGAAGGGCGGGTGTGGGTGGCTACCCAAGGATGACACTGGGGTGCGGTGATCTTTCAGAACACCTATGACCGCTGCCCCCTGGAGCTGGTCCGCTGCATCCGGCACATCCTGCACAACGAGCAGCGGCTGGTCCACGAGGCCACCAACGTGAGTGTCCCCGGCGTGGGGTGGGGTCCTCCCCATGCCTTTCTGTCCAGTGCAACTGTGGCTTCATACAGCAGTGGTGCCGGGCGCACTTGAGAAAAACCACAGCGCTGGCCGGTGGGAGGGGCTGTCGTGCCCGGCGGGGTCCACTGCGCTGGCATTACCAGCTGCGCTCCTGGCAGTGACTGGACTGTTACAGTCTCCTTTCTGTGGCTTTCCCAGCACTGGTGGTGACACTCCAGCCCCCAGCATGCCGAGCAGGTGCTCTCCCCCAAGCCACACCCCCAGCCCTTTTTAAAAATAATTTTTATCTTGAGATAGTTTTGCTAATTTGCCAAATCTGATCTCGAACTTTTGATCCTCCTGCCTCAGCCTTCCAAGTAGCTGGGGTGACAGCCTGTGCCACCACACTGCAGCCCCCTTCCCCCGCCACCCATCTCCTCTAATGTAAAATGGGTCTAGTGTAGAGTTGGGCGGGATGAGATGAGACACAAGGAGGTCAAGAACAGACACACATCAGGAGCCAGGGAGATGGCTCAGTGGAATAAGTGCTTCCCTGAAAAGCGCAAGGCCTGAGTTCAATCCCCGGTTCCGCCAAAAAAAAAAAAAAAAGAGAGAGAGACTGGTGGGATACAAGAGGAGGTGTAAACACACACTCATGTAAAAATCCCCTGGGAGGCAAATGACCTCATAAATCATGAAGGACATGGACGGCTGGGTCCAAGATAGCGAGCGTGGTGGTACACACCTGTCATCTAAACCTCAGGAGGCTGAGGCAGGAGGATCACTATGAGTTGGAGGCCAGACTGGGCTGCAACAGTGAATTCTCACAGGAAAAAGCCCCTTTGCTCCAGCGCATGCCCCATGCGCCCTTGCGCCCTTGCCGAACAAGGCACAGGTTGCGGGACAAGGCACAGGCTGGATCTGTCCCCGAGGCCAGCTGGGAAGGCGCTGTTGTTTTCACTGTACCACCTGGCCTCCTCTCTCCCCTTCTGCTCCCACTCAGGAAAGAAGTGGCCCTTCCTTGTGTCCTCAGATGGGAGTTCGCTATCCCTCAGCACTGGGCCTTCCCTCCTCTCTGCCTCTCTGTCCCCAGGGCGGCTCCCCAAGCCTCATCGAGGCCCTGTCTCAGAAGCACCTGCAGATCAGCCAGACATTCGAGGAGCTGCGGCTGGTGACGCAGGACACGGAGAGCGAGCTGAAGAAGCTGCAGCAGGCGCAGGAGTACTTCATCATCCAGTACCAGGAGAGCCTGGGTGTCCAGGGTGAGCCGGGCCGTGGGGTGCGGGGGACCAGGGCGTTGGGTGCTGTGGGGTGGGGCAGCCGAGTCGGTGGTTTCGGCCCCGGCTGCCGCTACTTTAGGCTCAGCCCCGTGTGCCCAAGCTCAGACCTCACAGCAGGCCTGGACTGGCGATGGCCGTGTTGTCCCCAGCTTTCTGGTGGTGCCAGGGAGGGGCTCAGGGACGTGGCCTAGGTCACCTGCACACTACAGACCTGGAGCTCGACTTGAGACCTGTCACACTGTTCCCAGGTCCTGTCCCGATGGCCAGTGGCTGTTGGGTCGGATGAGGAGATGTGGTAAAGTGTCTCCTCGTCGAGAAAGGACTAGCAGCTGGGGACAGCTGCCACACAGGAAGGTGTCACAGGGCATAGACTGGGCGGTGCACAGCGGTGGACTCTCAGGTCTCCTAGGGCTGTGACGGCCAAGGCCTTCCTGAGGCGTGTGAGAATTGGGGCAAGGATCATTTTTCTGTGTCATGACAATGGGCATGGCCCATTGTCACCTGCTCTAGGCTGACCCCGAGTGGCTAGTGGGCCATCCAGAGGGTGAGAAGGAGAGGGGACAAGATCCTTCTGTCCTGCAGTTTTCTTCCAGCCTCCAAGTAGGAAGTGAGGTTTCAGGCCAGCAGAGCTGCGGGACAGAGTTTGGGTCTTTGAAATTCTCTTATATATATAAAAATAAAAAATATGGGGCACAGCGCTTTGGCTGCACCCCGTAACTTGGCTGTGATGTGTATGCATGCCATTCACTGTGCAGCAATTCTGACTCCTCTCACGATGAAGTCACTTGTACAGTAGTTAGAAGCGTGTGGCTGCCTTCTGGATCCGTGTCAGGGTGCAGCGGGTTTCAATGTCGTCCTGTTTTCTTTCTTTCTTTCTTTCTTTCTTTCTTTCTTTCTTTCTTTCTTTCTTTCTTTCTTTCTTTCTTTCTTTTTTCTGTTTTGTTTTTGAGACAAGGTTTCACTATGCAGCTCAGGCTGGCCTTGAACTCAAAGCAGTGGTCCTGCCTCCACCTCCCGAGGGCTGGGATGACAGGCGTGCGCCACCACTGTCACCCTTATCTTCTTCTCAGATGCCACGGAGAACATTCTCTACGTGGCCTCAGTTCTTCCTGAAAGCTGGCTGGGCACGGTAGCTCGTGCCTGTCACCTCTGCCACTTGGGAGGCTGAGGCCAGGGCGTCACAAGCTTAGGGCCAGTGTCGGGGATTAGTGGGACCCTTGTGTGTGAGCAGTGGGAACTGGAGCGGTTGTGCCCGGGTAGAGGGTACAGCTTGTCCTTCACCGGGTGGCCTGTGTGGCAGAGGCCGCTCGCCCGGGCTGAGCAGAAACATGCTGTGGCGTCTACACAGCACGGCGCTGCCTCCCAGCCGCTTCGGACGGCGTGACCGTGTCCTCCTGACTGGCTTTGTAAATCTCCTTCGTAGCAGCCAGCCAGGCCTGGCTTTCCACTTGCGGTCCCTGGAAGCGCGTAGTGGATCTGTGCAGATATGTAGGGTGAAGCAGGGCAAGAAGGATCTTTTAAAGTTACGAAGAATTTCGATTCTTGGGCCAGCATAAGGGACTCAGAAACTGTCCAGGGGTGCTCTGTACTGAACTTTGAGAGGCCTTGATGTTGGTCTGTACTGATTATTTTTCTTGGTTTCTCAGCTGCTGAAAGATATGTCTCAAGATCTCTATAACTGTAGAATCATCTACTTTTTAGTTCTCTTATTTTGGGAGGGTGGCACTAGGGATTAAACCTGGAGTCTTTGCCCCGAGCTATATCCCAGGCTCATCAGAAATTTTCTGTATGGATACAGGATTTTTTTTTTTTTTTTTGGTGGAACTAGGGATTGAACTCAGGCCCCTGTGCTTGCCAGGAAAGCGCTTATTCCACTGAGCCATCTCCCCGGCCCCGTAAATTATAGATCGGTTTTTTTGTGGGGGGAGTACCAGGGACCAAACTCAGGATCTTACACTTGCCAGACAGGTGCTTATGCAGCTGAGCTAGCTCCTTGGCAGACAGGATCTTGCTAGGTGTCTACCGGCATGCTGACACCAGGAACCCTCCCGCCTCTGCCTCCCGGAGTGCTGGGACTAGAGGCACTTCGATTCATTTTGCGTATGTTTCCGTTACGTAGTTTGAACCTGCTATTGGGCATAGGCACGTTTTAAGATTATTGCACCTTTCCAGTCAGTTGGCGTAATCGTTGCTGGCTGTCTTAATCTCAGGTCACGTGCTGCCGGCTGCATCTGCGGTGCCAACACAGCTGGCTGCTCTGGTCCAAGTCTGCATTTCCCTCGGCGTGGTGTGACCCATGGAACATATTTTCTCTGTAGAAAATGTATTATATTCTTAGACAAGGTCTCACTGCGTAGTTAGGTTGGCTTAAACGCATGATGATGCTCGTGCCTCAGCCTCCAGGGTGCTGGGATCCCTGCTGTGCATCACTATACCCAGTAAAAAGTGTAATACTACATCGTGTTTGTTTGTTTCTTTCTTTCTTTCTTTCTTTCTTTCTTTCTTTCTTTCTTTCTTTCTTTCTTTCTTTCTTTCTTTCATTTGGCACAGGGTCTTACTATGCAGCTCCAACTGGTAGTGATCCTCCTGTTTTCAGTCTTCCCAGCGCTGGGATTACAGGCGTGCCCCACCACGCCCGGTCTTGGTGGCCCAGGGGTGGGGCCAGTGAGGCTTGTGTTATGGGGGATCGAACCCCAGAACCTGCATTTGCCTAAGCAGGCGTTCAGCCTGCTGAGCTATCTCACCAGCCCCTTGCTGTGGATTTCCTGAATGTCTGTGTTACTTGAGATGTCTTCCCCATTAACCTTTAGTATCGTAGGCAACATATTTGCTTGGTGGCTGATACTTTAATGTTTCTTTTCTGTTGCTTCTCTTTCCAGCTTTTATTTCTCTGTTCCTCCCCTTTGGCCTTTTTGGTTAAACTTTTTCTAGAATTCCTCTTTGACTTAAACTCTCGTACTGCCTGCCCTTGAGATGGCACACTGGCCAAAACAGAGCGGACCCTGAGCCCATGCCTCAGGCTGAGTCCGGCAGGGCTTGCCTCGTCCGAATCCACCCCAGACCGACCTGAAAAGGCCCGGGCTTCCTGGGTGGAGACATGGAGCTTGGGAGGTGGTTCCTGCCTGTGTCTGTTGCTGCTGACGCATGAGTGACCCTGGGCGCCCTTGCTCTGCTGTACCTGGGCTTGGGCTCGGGTCAGCTCCACGCTGTGCATGACATCAGTGTGACCTCCTCTCTCAGCCACACCGTGACACAGGGGGATGGGGGATAGGTCTGTGCAGGTAACAGTAGGCCCCTCCTTGCAGCATAGCCCTGGCCCAGGTTCCCTGGCCTGTCCAGAGGCTCCCATGAAGGCCAGGAGGGACCCAACGTCACCTGTAGGGGCCAGGCCAGGCGTGGTCTTGGCCTCCTATGGCAGGTGGGATCCAAGGCCAACAGGGTGCTGTGCTGAGTACTCCTAAATGGTGTTCCTTGTACAGTGCCCTGTGGGGAGAGGGCGCCATGACTCTGCCTGGGTCAGGCTCTTCCTGGTTGTCTGGTATCACTGTTGTCTGTCTTACCTGGGTGTCCCAGGGAGTCACCCGGTCAGTGTCACGTGGCTCAGGAGGCCACGTGATGATGTTTCAAGACATCATCAGAAACACTTGTCCTGGGGGTGGGGTTGAAGGAGCCTTGTTGGCCGAGGACACAGTGTCCAGTCCTCTTGTGTGGCTGCACAGTGGTGACCAGGCTCTCTGGTCCCCGGCACGTGTGTGACACGGTGACCCCGTCCCCCCAGCCCAGCTTGTGCAGCTGGCCCAGCTGAGCCCCCAGGAGCGGCTGAGCCGGGAGCCGGCCCTGCAACAGAAGCAGGCGACGCTGGAGGCCTGGCTGCAGCGCGAGGCGCAGACTCTGCAGCGGTACCGCGTGGTGAGTGCCGGCCGGGCCTTGTCGGTGCGGGCGGCTGGGCTCAGGGCTGGGGCTCAGGCCGTGTCCACCCCCAGGAATCGGCTGTGCCGGGCCTCGTCAGTGCAGGTGGCTGGGCTCAGGGACAGGGCTCAGGCCGTGTCCACCCCCAGGAGTCGGCTGTGCCGGGCCTCATGGGTGCGGGTGGCTGGGCTCAGGGACGGGGCTCAGGCCGTGTCCACCCCCAGGGGTCGGCTGTGCCGGGCCTCGTGGGTGCGGGTGGCTGGGCTCAGGGACGGGGCTCAGGCCGTGTCCACCCCCAGGAGTCGGCTGTGCCGGGCCTC